CACACACACACACACGTTGACCGAATGAACCACATGAACCTGACGAAGTGAACAAAGATGAACAGTGATTTAATCAGTTCATTCACTTGTGAACTCGGTTTCAGATTAAATCTGAATCCTTGATAAACACACGTGTTGTGTCGCCGCGGACGCCCCGGTGGAGGAATCCATCGCCCCGGTGGAGGAAACCATCGCCCCGGTGGAGGAAACCATCGCCCCGGGACACAGAAAAACCCCGGAACAGTGAAGGTGGCCCGGGGTGGAGTCAGCAGCCGCAGCCCCCTCTCTCAGCCCCGCACTGTGACTCCGCTCTTCCTCCGGCTCCACTCGGCTGTCAGCAAAGTCTCTGTCCGAGGAAAGTGGAGTTAAAACCGGCGACACCCAGGATATTTCCCCCGAGTGGTTCCTCCGTGTTCTCCCCCGTGTTCTCCTCCGTGTTCTCCCCCGTGTTCTCCTCCGTGTTCCCCGACAGAAGCTCCGACCAGCGGCAGGTAAGACGGAGCAGGAAGTGTCCGCGGTTAGCTCGCACCGCACTCACCTGCTAGCATCTCTCCACACCGTGTTTGTTCTACATGTGTGACCCAGCCGAAGCATGTCCCGGCTTCACGGTGACACTAAGGTCAAACACATCTTTGCACCCGCGGGTTGGCTCCTTCGAAACACGGGTCGTTTTGGTTAAATCGGTGGTTTTCCTCACGGAGGTCTGGGATCTTAGCGTTAGCTTCGAGATGCTCCGCAGACCCTGACGCTCGGGAAACACCGAGGAAAACAACGAAAGTGTGAAGAAGCTGTGAACAATGCGATGAATTATAACTTCAGAAGGTTAATGTGTGTGATGGACACAAACCTGGTTCGATCAGAGGATCACTGAGGGTCACAATCCACGAGGACGTCACCTCATCACTGATTCTAATAGAAATCCATTGATAACTTCTCCCTTCAGACACAACGTGTTCAACCTTAATCATCTTTAAATCTGATTAGTTTTGTGTCTTGATCAACGACCACGAGTGGATTCATCGAGTCATCGATTGAGGATTTTCTTTGTCTGATTTCTGTTAATTGGCCAATTTTAGTTTTTTCACTGTCGATGAGACAAAACTAATGATTTGAGTGTCTCACTGGTCACATATGATGGAGATATTTCACTATTTTCTTCTTAATGCATCACAACAAACTATTTGTATAAAAGTAATTGAGGTATTTTACAGTTGTAGGATAATGTGTCATTGTACTAAAGTCGCTTCTCAATTAATTAATGAATCAATCAACGATTTGTTGTATACGAAGCAAACAACAGGAAGATGTCACCTTCAGGACTCTGACTTTTAAGTAATTAATTAATTATAGACAAATGTAATGGAGAGATAAAGACACAATATGATGATAAGTATTAAAGTCTGGTTGCTGTGTCTCAGGTGAAATGTGTTGAGGTGACACAGATGTGATTCATCCATACTTTAAAACGTGACTCACTTCATTTGTCTGTCTCCAACAAAAAGGTTTTGTTCACACAGGTAAATCAGATCACTTGTTTTTTTCCAGGTCTGGTCAAGTTAAAGCAGGGTTGAGTCTGTTCATTTTACTTTGTACAGTCAGAGATTTATTAATATATATATTTCACTCAGGAACTCATCTCTGAAATTCCCTCACTTGTTTATTAAATTCCACATTTTAAAACTTTTTCTTGGACTCTTTTAAAACAGGAAGTCTGAGTCAGCTCCACGTTGAGACGTTCCTTCTCTTTTGAATCATTGATAAATCCTAGATATGACATCGCACAATTATTTTATTTTATCTAAAAGAGTGAGCGCACCACCTTATTTCTATTCGACCATTTCTAATATCACGTGACTGCATCTAAACTGTGGTTGATAATATATAAAACTGGGGATTTGTGCTCTATGAGTAATTTATCATTTCTCCAACAGGCCTGTAAACGCTTCGTCTACCTTCACCAACCTGTTTAACGTATGTAACCCTCAGAATGATGTGTCTGCTTGCGTAGACGATAAAGAATATCCTGGACCTGTTCCGAGTATTTCACTGCAGTAATCTCCTTGAGTAGATAAGACGGGCATTAACTCACTGAATGCAAATGGTTGTGAGTTTGTCCGACGGTCTGAGATACAGGGAACAGTCTGGTTTAATTGAGTAAAGACATCACATCCTGGAATAAACTGAACCCAATAAGATGCATTATAAAGATCAAGTGTTCTTCAAAGTTGAAGTGAAGGAGGGATGTTCCTTCTGTAGCCTCTGTAAACATTTTTTTAAAACAGGAAGTTTCCTCTCTTGACTCAGCTGCTCTGAAAAGTAAGAGACGGCGTCGTCAGTGAAGTCTCGTTAGAATTTAATTAACAGGAGCTCGCTAAGAGGGCCCACCGAAGCAGATGGTCGACAGACGAGGGCCCAGACAGACTCAGTCATTCATGCGGAGCACTCGTCTGGAGCGACAGTAGCGTACGTGAAGGTGGGGGAGCAGACGGCAGAGTCGGGAGGGGAGGGAGGGAGGGAGGGAGGGTTTGATAAGAGGCAGTTCGGAGGAGGGCGAGTTCGGGCTTGACTGGCAAGTCAGCCGAGAAAATTGTGAGGTTAGGAAAAAAAAAAAAAAGATGTGAGACTCTAAACAAAGACAGAGGCAGTGTTCTACTGCTGTGTCTATAAATCTTTAAAACTCAGGAGTCGTGTTCCACGTTGTAAAACAGTATCAAGGTTTAATCGTGTCAGTTACTGTGGTTTAAACACAGAGATTGTCGGAATAAATCCATCGTCATTCCTCCACAAAGACAATCTGGCACACTTTTAATCATTCAGCGCAACTACGAGTGATTGCGTTGAACCTAAGCTGTCGTTCATTCCATCTTAGAAACTGCGGAAAAATGTAGAATTCTCCGCAGAAACAAAACAAGAAGGTTTTTCTCCCTGGAGTGTCGGACGTTAGCTCCAGGCAGCAGAGAAGGCGGGTGGTTAGAATCTCCAGCCGTTGGCAGACTCTCAGCTCCTGCTCGGTGCTTAGTCATGGATCTCTCTGCATACACATAAACTAACTCAGCTCACTGATTCTGCCTACACTGCTGATCTGGTGCTCACTCCCCCCCCATGGCCGGCATTAGCCCTGTAACATCTTATTTGGTAAAAGGGTCTCACACATATATTAAGGGCCCTGTGGTCTATGTCTGCTCAGCAAATCACCAGCTTTCAATGCACTTAATTCAGCTCAATGTTACTTTATATGGTCAGAGAATCATCCAGTTTAAAGCTGCAACCATTAGAAGATAAGTTGATTTTAATGAACCTGCAGCCATTTCTTAAACTTCTTTTTTTTTTTTTTTGAAAGAAAGCTGTAACTTCTTCTGGTTCCGGATTCTCAGGTTTGAGGTTTGTCTGCTTTTCGTTGTCATACGTGATGATGAATTGAATCTATTTGGTTTTGCGGCTGATGATCGGACAAATAAAGCACAGAGAAGACTTCACTGTCGGATCTGAGAGGATTTAATCTGAAGATAATGAGCCAACAACCAAATTGACTTTGTGTTTTTGTAAAGAAGCTTCTGCAGAAGTGTGTCGATAAGAAACAAATTCATTGTTACAGACTTTGAACGAGCGAAGCAACCTTGGATAATTAGTTCTTGTGATGTTCTGTGATCACTTTATTCTCTTTGTGTTGCAAATTTTACAAAGGACGTAATTGTTTCAACCAAAATACGGATTTTGTGGGAAAACTTTTATTTCTCAAAGCAAAGAACTTAAGAAAGTAAAGTTTCTCGGTTGGTGTGATAAATGCAGGTGTATGTGAGTGTCATGAGTTTTTTTCTTTTATATTCTTCACAAACAAGGTTCCAGTTATCAGAAGAATGTTGTTTGTCACCATCACATTTCTTCGGGGGGAGATTTCAGCTCTCGGTCATGTACTTGAGTGTATTGACTGTGTTGTACTGTAGTAATGTTGTCCTAACTGACCCAGGATCTGTTGTCTTTCGCAGTATGGGGGCTTATGAAGACAAGAAGGAAAAATGTGGAACCATCTGCCTGAAGTACCTGCTGTTTGCGTTCAACTTTCTCTTCTGGGTAAGTTTCTGTCGGGCAGAGCTGAAGCAGCATGAAGGACCTGACTTCAGAAGTGCTCCTCGAGCTCCTGCATGCTTTGGGCAGAGTTCCTCCCGCATGCAGGCGTGTCCTACAACATGTATAATCTGGTTACCTAACTTTTATTTCAACCTGTTTTCTCTTTTGTTGTCGCTCATGCCTTTTAACTTTTTATCCACCAACTTAATTGCTGGGATCTTTGAGAGGCTGAAAAGAAGTCAGACTGGGCAGGAAACACAAGTTGTGAACAAACTGTGGTGGGAATCTGAAAATAAAGATGGAAACAAGGATCGAGCCACAGCTCTTCACAGCTCAATGTCAGGGAGTCGATAAGAAGCAAAGTCATTACTGCAGACTTAAAATGAGAGAATTGACCTTGGCCGAAGCAGGTAGTTTCCCCACATGTCATAGGGAGGGAAGGAACACCAGACAACAGCTTTCTGGAACGAGCCGTTTGTACTGAAGAGGTATTTGAGACGAGCTGAAGGAGAAAGGTTACGTGAGCGGGACATTTCCAGGACAGCGGCTGAACTCACTTTGAGTTTTAACAAATAATATAATTAATGGATATTATGACAAACGGGTAATTGAAGTAATTAATTTAGTTGTGGGTTAATGTAACTGATTTAATGTGTTAAAATAAAAGACAGAAGAATCAGAAGCTCATTTATCCACTTGATCTGCAAACTTAAATAGATTATAGACCAGAATAGAACCTTGTATTATACAATACACAGTGAAAGTAAGAAACTAATCTCAGCTCTAACAAACTGTAAAATAGTGTTTCCCTCCCTTGTTAAAAGAAAAGTAAGACACGCACAATACATGTCCTCAACAGACATATTTCCATTTTATCAAATGGAAAAAATTAGCTGATAAAACTGAACCAGTCAACCAAGCACTTTTAATTCTGGCAATAGATGAAGGCCGGCTGCTTTCCCACTTCACAGAATCAAAGCCAAGTTGCATTCTTTCACACAGAAGCTGCATTCAAAGCCGAATTCCTCAAAAAACTTTCCAGAGTCAATAACATGGGATGACAACGTCCACAAATAACCGGTTTAATGACTTGGATGTGTGATGTAAAAGTGTCTGTCTCGTTCTCAGCGTGAAGTCTCACTTTCAGCTCGGCCTCAATATGTGATAATCATCTGTCTGACAGAATCAGAGAAACGTTACTGAGACAAATCCCAGAGAATCAGATAGATGGATATTTCAGGACTAAATCGTCTTTTGACCATTTACTTGCTGTGATTTCTTTTTTTCTTGTTGTCGTCAGATCATGTCTCATCCCACAGATCCTTTAGCGTAGCCGCAGTTGTCACAGCCGTGGTGAAGCCAGTGTCTCTGGACCTAACGTTCAACAACAGACTGAACTCGCTGCAGTTCCCTAAAGTATTTTGCTGAGTGACATCTGTTCATTTAGCTCACGAGCAACATACGGTCACAGTGTCCTGTTGTCGAGTGATGTTTGTTTTTATGAGGAGGAAAAATAAATCTTATCAAATAAGATTTATTTGTTTATTGATTTTAGATGGAGTGTATGATATCGTATGTTCCTCCTTTCTGATTCATTCACTTTTTTTGGGGGGGATTTATGACAGATTTTCAGATCACAATCTCAACACCAGCTGCGTTCTACGTAAGAATTATAATTATCATTTAAAAATAAACTTGCTGTGTTTCTTAATATCATCATGAAGGACAAGGAGATAACTTGGAGCACAGTTCAATCCAGTCAAAACAAAATATATCTTGTGTCAGCAATGTTTTCAAGAATGAATCTCGTCATTATTCAAGATTTAAATAAACTGATTTCAATCTTGATTTCAAAAGTTGTAGAGCTCCAGAAATGCACACGTCTGCGTCACGAATCAGAACATGCAGTGAAACAACGTCACATTCACCTCATGGTCCTTTACGTTCAAATGTTGCAGTCGTTACCACCTGCTGCCACCAGGGGTCACCCCAGTTTGTATTTCCCCTGTGGAAAGGTTTGGACAGGATGTGTGTCTCATTCAGGTTTGACAGCAGGTACAGACGCAGCAGAGCGTCCGTGTCCTCACTGGAGACACTGATCCACGTCAGGAGACTAAGATTGTTTTAAAACCTTGTGAGATGCTATAATAAAAAAAAAAAATAAACGTTTTTCTTTAATCATTTGTCTGGACTCTGAAGAGTGAATTAAAACCCTCCTGTAGTTTCGATTGAACACCAACACAACTCTCCATGTTTGGATTGAAGGTGGTTATGATGAAAAACACCGACAGCCACTGACATGGCTCTAACGTGAAGTTCATGTGTAGTCTGTTGTCAGGCGATAATGGAAAATTATAAAAACAGGCAGTAGCTAGTTACTGATTCTGTCAGAGGTTTGATTGAAATCTCCCTCCCTCCCTCCCTCCCTCCCTCCCTCTCTCTCTCTCTGGGTGTGGTGCAGTGAGTCAGTGTCTCGTGTCTGTGGTCATCATCTTGCCTTAAACATTAAATGTGAATTAGTCAGGCAGTTAGATTGACGGCTTTGGCCGGATGACAGATTCCTGTTACGGAGCTGCACCATCTGCTGACTCCTCGTGCTAATATATCATCTTGATTTGATTTACCTCATATTCACTTCAACTGTTGGCTTAGATAAAGCTGCACTATCAAAGTATTTATTTGACGGATTGAAGCAGATTTTATTTGATGTTTGTTTTTGATTGCAGTCAGTTCATCCTGTGGGCTTATAATAATTCTCAGATTTCAGACCATATGGTTGCTGTGTAGAGTTAAAGTCCTGCGCCGCGAAACATTTTAAAGTGAATTTTATCAACCGGCCGTGTTAAAAAAAACTTTTATCCTGTTGATCAATTCATCTGACTATTAAATTATCGACGCATAAAATAAAATCGGGTCAAATCTGATTTAATTATATAGCACAGGAGTTTCACAAACACAGCAAAGAAAAGTGAAAACAGTGTGAGGGGAAGATGGAATAAAAGAAGATAAATTAACGATAAGACAGAATCAGGCTGAATTAAAATCAAGATTAAACATATATATAATTATCAATAGAAGACCTAAAATGGCTTGGTCCTCTTTGGTTTATAGACGAGACAGCGGGAGGGAGACCTATAATGAGAGACGAGTGTTTTTGGTTTTGCTATTTCATTTGTTGTCATTCAGGACAAAGGAAAGCAGCAAATCCTGCAGCAGCTCCTTTTGGCTCGTTCACAGTTGTATTGCAGCAGGAACTGATTCTAGATTCGATCGTCTTCTGTGGTTGTTTTTAATCAGTTGACATTCAACCATCAGGCTTTTAATTTCAAGCGTCCAGGCTCACTCTCATGTAAAACAATGTAAAGCCTGTAGCTGTCTGCGCGCCGCTGCTTCTGCTCTAATCACGTGCTCTTCTCCCAGGTGGCAGGGGGCATCGTGATGGCGGTGGGTGTTTGGACCTTGGTGGAGAAGAGCGACTACATCAGCCTTCTCTCCTCCAAGACCTACGCCGCCTCCGCCTACATACTGGTCCTGGCTGGAGCCATCGTCATGGTAACAGGCGTGCTGGGCTGCTGCGCCACCTTCAAGGAGGAGAGGAGGCTGCTGCGAGTGGTAAGAGATCACGTCAGGGTTGAGAAATCAAAGTGCGCGAGACAGAAAGTCACCCGAGGCTGAAAAACCCAATCGAATTGAAACAGAGTGGGAATCATTTGTAGGCAACAATTTGGAGCTCAAGGTTAGAGCTGTGATCACCTGTTGTTGAGCGAAAAGACAGATACACCAGTTTTTACTGACCATTGTTACGTTTATCAGCATTGACATTAATTAGTTTAGCTTGATTCATTTTTTTTTTATAACATGCAGCTTCACCTCAGTGAATCTACTTTTTCCAGGGAATGTTCTTTTCTGAGTTGTCGTCCCTGCCGGTCAGGAAATGACTGTGTCTGTATCACAGAGGCTTCTTATTTTCTGCCTGTTAAACAGTTTAACGTATCACAGTAGGTTTGTACACTCAACAATTTTTATGCCCCATTTGTCTCCCCGTCCCTTTTTCACACATGGTGATAACAGGAGAGACACAAAATGTCACTGAGCTCAAGCAGGATGTTCATTCATTCATTTATTTATTTGGTCACTGAGGTCACTCTGGGCTTGGGAACAGATTTGGTTTAAGCCAAAAAGTAAATGTGGACAATACACGACATTCAGAAATAATGAGTTTGTTAGAAGGACATTGAGAAACAATACAGGCCGAGGTTGCCTTCAGACAGAAGACAAACTTCACAGGAGACAGCACGTCCATTATTTTGCTTTGACACATGCTGAACAAAGACAGAGCTCAGGTCTTTCCGACAGAGACACCTGCATGGCAGCTCAAAATACACACACACACACACACACACACACACACACACACACACACACTTCGCTGGCCTTCAACCACACATTTCAACATGTTGAATTTATACAGGAACATCACTGTTGGCACCACTCAAATGTTTCTGCCTCGTAAACTTTGCCAGATCGTGCGTCATCTTTGCCATTATGCAGTTTTCAGCGGAATCCACAAGAATTGGGCTCAGCCAGATATTCTCAGCTTGAGATAAGGCAGGTGTTCAAATATGGCCACAGTCATATTGTGTTTGAACGAAGGTTGACGTAAGTCGAGCAATGAGTTTTTTCCGCTGCACTAACGAACCTGATGCCACGTTTAATGACCTCTTCTGATTTATAACAAACAAACACAGCTCGGCTACATCCACGTGTGTGTGTGTGTCCATTATCTCATTGGCCTCAAACTTGGAATGTGTATTGTTTAGAACGACCACTACAGTAGTTTTTACAATATATATAAAAAAGTTACCAGTGTCTGGGGGTCTCCTCTGACTTCAAATGATCTGTACTATCAGTATCCCAAAGAGAATCTCCACAGACAGTGGTTAAAAACCATCGTGGCTTATTATACTGTAGAATTCACAAACATGACAAGGCTGCTTTTTTCCTTTTGTAAGATAGAAATTCTTTTTTTTTTTTTAAAGTGTCTCGGGATATTCAGTGTAGAAAGAAAAAAAAAGATGTGGAGGCTGACCGCAGATGTGTTTTTTTTTATTTCCTGCCCGAGTCTTTAAAACATAATTGAAAGGTCTATAGATCGGTGCTCCGTAAACCCTCAACATGTCCACATTATTTGATTTGTGACTCAGCAGTTGTGTGTAAATCAAGATGTACACACCACCTCCTCTCCTCCGTGTCGTGTAGTGGATCCGAAACGCTCCGTGCATCCTGACGAGCTGAGATTAGGGCGATGAATCACAGTGAAGGAATGAACTTGTCAGCAAGGAGAGATGCTATCGAGATTGTTAAAGAGGGCAAACATAAGGGCGGAGGTGTGTGTGTGTGTGTGTGTGTGTGTGTGTGGGGGGGGCAGATTAATTGTTTTCCTGTATGTGTTGAGTGTCTGGTAACTGCTGGGAGTACACGAGAGCTGCGGTGATTGGCAACAGTGTCCCGTAACCGAAAGGTCAACAAACTCCAGCACAAAATAAAGCTGATGCGGCCGTAACGTCAGCAGCTGTGAGGTGGAAATAAAGTCCCTGCAGCTGTTTGTTGATTAAAGGGAAGGACACATATCAGACTCTACATCAGAGACGATCTGCACACAGTGTGAGAGAGGTCGGAGAGAAAAAGGGGGAGAAGAGGAAAAGTCTCCCGCTGGAAGAGGGGTGTGGAGCGACAGAACGGTGTAATTGACTGAGGGAGAGGAGGGAGAGACTTTTTCCTTCCAAATGACAAAGAGCCAAATGGAAAACAGTCCTAACAGAGTCTGGATCCACCTGTGGAGAAACTGACTTCATGCAGTCTGACCGGACGTGTTTGTCTCAGTCCAATGCTTTGACTTTCTCTCTAGTTCTTTCTCTCCCTCTCTCTCATTCTCTCTCTCTCTCTACATATCTTTCACTTCATCTCTTCAGCTGTCGTTTCAGGTTTTTATCTTCTTTCTGTCTTTATTTATATTTCCCTTTGATCGTCTCTCTCAAAAATAAAGTTGGAAATAACTTGATTTTTCAGTCTCTTGTTTGGTCGAATCACTTTCTCTCTCTCCACTAACTTGAAAAATGAAGAACGAACATCGGTGTGATTAAAAACCAGCTCAAATGACAGAACCCATCTGTTGGACGTGCGTTTTGACTTTTTAATTTAGCACACGTCCCATCCATTAACGAGGTGCATGATCGTACCGCAGCCATGCAGGTGCTCACGGAGATGGGAGCAGTCATGTTTATTCGGTTTAAATGAAAATACAGAATAGCACCGCTACTTGGTTGTAAGGAATACGCTCAATGCCACATGCTCACAACCTTCTGTCTCACAAGGTCTCTGCCTCTCAGCTTCTCAATTCTTTCCATTTTATTTAATTCTGTTTCTTCTTATTCAAGTCTTTTTGTTTTCTCTGTGTCTCTGCCTTTGGATTGTGTTTATCTGAGGCACCAGGCTGGCAGAACTGCAAGCAGAGGCAAAGGTTAACTCGATCGCTGCTTCGTGGTTCCTGGCCGTCATGCCGTTCAGCTCGCAGCTGGCCTGCTCTTCGACCCGATGAGTCTTTCATGACTTCTCTTACGACCGTTGCTCGTGAACCTCGAGCATTTATTCAGCGGCGCGGTTATTTGAGGACGATCTCTTAAGACTCAACCAGGAGTGAGACAAAAAGCTGTTGTGTGAATAAGGATATTTACAAAGTTTACTGCTCATTGAACGTGAGGATCTGTTTGTGTCTGCGTGCGACCGTGCAGAAGGTAAACCCACCGGTTTGAATACCTGGTGCATCTTGAAGAGTTGAGACTGCAGCCACGGATCACCTGTCATCGAGGCTGCAAGAGATTGTAGAAGATGGACAACTTTTTACTGAATTTATCAAGGGAAGGTACATCGAGCTGAAGAACCAGGCCCGAACACGACAACACAAAGCTGCGGACAGAAAACGCAATAAATTAAAAAAGAGCATAAGCAACCGACATTTCAAGATTTCTCACCTCGTAGAAGGGCAAGTTAAAGACAATGACATCTTAAGGGAATCTTTAACTTGTGGTTTTAAAGAATTTAAAGATGATTTCTTTCTGAAGCATATTCCAGCCCGCAGGTGCAGAATACACAAAAGCCCTTTTGCCAATTTCTGCACAGGAAGGTGGGATGGAAATAGATTTTCCGCATCATGCAAATACTGTACACAGGTATAATGGGATCAGGCCTAGAATTGCAGTCTGCAATGGCTGTGTGTGTGTGTCCTCGTCAACTATTCCAGATTTAAAATAGAAGTACAAGAATGTTTGTGTGTCTGTGTGTGTGTGTAGAATAGGGAGAGTAGGAAAAGCTGCAGGACCTAGGTATGGTGCTTGTGATATATCTTTGTTGAAACTTGTACACTGGCTGTGTTTCAGGCCTGTAAATCTTGTGTGTTGTTTTCTACTTGCTTCCTCTTTCTTCTTACATTTCCACGGTGGTTATTCAGCTATCTGTGCTGTGGAAGAGAAAGTGTTGGTGTCAGGGGGACCCACAGACCAAAGAGCCTGTTAGCAACCGGGGGGAAAATCATGACTCAAATTTGAAGAGTTGCCGGCCATGATTGCATAACAGCCGAGGTTGGTGAGTGCACACTGTGGAGACTGCAGAGGGAAGCATGCAACAGGTTACTTTTAAAAAAACACAGCGGCGGATAGTCGACTCGTCCTCTGTTGTCGTGCTTCTCTTCAAAGCATCAGCACGTCATCGCAAAGCAGCGGAGAGTCCAGTTAGCATTCAGACCCAGAGCCGCTCAGAGATCTAATCAGAGGCTATCAGATTAAAGACCTCGTCCGTTTCACCGGGCTCATTTTCTCTCTCTGAAAGCAGCAGGCCGGAGGAATTTGGGTCAAGGTTTCGGTGCGATAATATCTCTTCTTGTCTTCAGTTCTGATAAAAAACTTTGGCATGAAAAACAGACCTTCCCTCTCGCTCCTCTGAGCATGGTCACGAATCAGATGCTGGCGATAAGCAAACATCACTTAGAGGCACAGCGTGTGAGATGTGCCCCTGAGCAGTTCCTCAAAGTTTTTGTGGTTTCAGGATTTAATAAACCGACTTGACCATAAAATGCACAGAAGAGTTTTATGTCAATGTGCTTCACCTAACTGTTGTTTGGCCGCTTTTTCTGAGCTGAAAAAAATATCTACAGCAGCTTTTTTTATTCTTCTAACCATGAGGACTTAAAGTGAATCATCACATTTATGCTCATTGATAGTCGGGATGTGTTTATTCTTATTTGCTCTTGATTTGAAATGCTTTGCAAACCAACAGTGGATTAACTCAATGTAATTAACAGCTGAGTAAAACATGACTAGACCTCAGCTGCTGTTTTGTTTGTATTTCATTCAAACTTACTTTTTGCCTCAGCTGTATGTTTAACTTTAAAATCTGTTGTTTCATCACATTAAGAATCCATTAACTGTATTTTCCTCTTCTTCGTTGTTCCTCTTGTCCACAGTACTTTGTCCTGCTGCTGTGTATCTTCCTGTTGGAGATCCTGGCTGGCGTCCTGGCGTATATCTACTACCAGCAGGTATTTAAAAGACTTTTTGTGTGTGAATCTCAAAAGTAATCTTTTCTCCTCATATACATATTTGTAATCAGGTGATGAACGTTGACCACTGTGAATTAAAACCTGATGTCTCTGCATCTATTAGCAACGATAGCAACAGAGCGTCCTCAACAAATATTTCATGCTACCTGATCTGAGCACGCAGTTGAAAGTGTCGTGATAAAACACTTTCAGTTCCCATGTGGCGATGGCATGTAATTTTAACGGAGACAAACCCAGCGTGATAGATGGCAGGAGGGAGGAAATATGAGACGGCACATTAAAAATACAAACATCAGACCGGAGAATATTACTCGTGCTACATTTAGTCCAAGTGGAACGAAAAAAATGCCTCCAGTTGTTCACATAACAAGGTTGAATGCTCTGTCGGATTCATTTAAAAACACGTTTAGATTTTTCAACTGATGTCGTCAGACAGAGCTGTTCTCTTTATGCCGCTCAGAGAAGAGAAAGAATGAAAAACTGTCGTGACACAGGTTAATGATTCAAAAGGATAAAACTGTGCATGATGTGATTATTTTCCAAGTCACCGTAGTTTAAAGGTAAAAGCAGAACTAAGCCTGACAACCTCCCTCTGCACATTTCAGATGTTTTACTGTCACATTTTCAGTTCGACCGACTTCCCTGCAAGCAGCTGCAAATTCGGCCTTTGTTTTTTTTTCCTTGTGCAATATTAAGTTGACATTGCCCTCCACCAGTACCGGTCCCTCCCTGACTATAGAACTGAAGCCTGGTGTGCTTGTAGCTCGGCAACAGGACTTTCCTCAGTGCGGAGGTGCAGTGATATCATTATAACTGCCTCATTCATAATACACAACTGTGAACATGAGCAGTGGCTGAGCTCCACAGCTCTGTCCTGCTTCATAAATCTGTCTCTCCTTTACTTCCTTCTCCAACACCACTCCTCTTCTCTTCCTCTATTCTTCCTCCTTCCTTTCTTTATTTCTCTTTCTCTGGTGATACGTTGAGAAAAATGTGTATTTGCATTTTTCCCCGATCACAATTAACAAGCTGCAGATTCTTCTTCAGATCTTCACGTAGAAACCTCCTTCACCTTAAGTAAAGAAAAGTGACGGCAGCAACAACTGCACTTTTTCCCATGTTTCTCTCGCTGCTGTCTTGCATGTGAGAGGTTTCACATCATTATCATCATAATATTTTAAAGTACGTATAAAAAGTATATAAGCCGGTGGCTTAGTTTTGGATTGCGAGCTACCGAATGTTAATTTCATGTTAACAAAAATCTTTCAATCAGATTAAATGTTAAAAAGGGAGTAAGTGATTCTGGGGAAAAACATTTGTTTGTTGAACTCAAGAATTTTACCGCTGCCTCCAGAAGCTGCAATTTGACAGCCTTGCAAAAACTATAGTTCCTCAGCCAACTTTGAAAGTATCCACACCACATGGGTAAAAAAAAGCTTGGTACACAAACGTTCTCAGAAGAAAAACTGCTCAAAAAACTCGCCTACTCATTATAAACTGATTTGGAATCTGTTTCAGCCTCGTCCGCTAAAACAACCCAGTTTATAAAACAACAAGGATTCTGGATTCGTATCATGCAGCTGACATCGTGACTCCGGTTATGAAAAAGAAAAATCCTTCAGGTGGATCGGTCATAATCTTCAGGTGGCACCTGTGTCCTGACGGCAGATGCTGCTACCTTCCTTGCCTCTAGATGGCGCACCCTTACTTTCCACCACACACACACACACTTGTAAACTGCTGCACCTGATTTCTCGATAATGGACTGAAACTGCAGATCTGTGTGACTGCAGCTGAAACATATTGGTCTTAACGGAGCCTCGTTTGCTGTCTCGACTTTTTGATTTCACGAAAAACAACAGGTGAAATAAAAAAGCTAAACTCCTCCTCCCTTCTTCTTCCTCTTGTCATCGTCCCCTCCCGTCTCATCTCTCTCTCTCTCTCTCTCTCTTTCCGCCCTCCATTCCCTCTCTTCATAATTCATTCCCTTGATATCTCCTTCACGCTTTGATTTACAGTGGTTCCCCAGCTGGCTTGTTGCCATAGAAACTGAGCCCCCCCAGACCTCCCACTCCTCCAGTGGGCGTGTTCTGCCACTGGTCTAGAGAACAAAAAAAAAAACCAAAACACAGTCTTCGTCCCGGTTTTGTCCTCGTCTCCACCTCAGAGCTGTTGTCCATGACGTGTTTTGTCTAGAGAGCAGTCACATCCTGCGTCCTGTATAAATCTCATCAGTAGAAATATCAACAGTTGCCACTAATACGTCACTGATCTGTGCTCGCCCAAGGTTTCGGGGTTGCTATGTAGCTGCTGATGCATTTGTCTGTGTGTCTGTGTCTCGACAGTTGAACGAGGAGCTGAAGCAGAACCTGAGGGAGACAATGATCCAGAAATATCAACAGAAGTCCCATGAAGGCATCACCAGGGCTGTGGACAAGCTGCAGCAGGAGGTACGTGTCTGGGGGGGGCGTCCACAGCTTCATATTATAAATTACCCTGAGCGTCTTATCCAAAGTCTCCTGGACCCAAATGTGGCTTGTTCACTGGAAACCTATCGTCCCATCAGATTAGAGATTTTGATGATGGGTCGAGTCAAAACAAATCTGATTCTCGTCCCTCTGACTTCAGCGAAGCATGATGGACTTTCCTGTTCCCTCTCTTTGGCTCATACCCGTTGACAGCACAGAGAAAAATTGATAAACCTGAGGTGTAGTTGTTTTATATTTAATGATCTGTTTTGGAGTTTTAAAAAGCCTCTGGCTATCAGATGTCTGCATTTATTTTTTATACTTTTCTTAACTTTTTTATTTTGGACCATTACCAGACGTTTGTTTGGACTTTCTTGAACTTCTCACTTGATTTAATAAAATATAGTAGTCGGTATAAAAACCGTTTTCTAATGTTCGAAACTTCTACAACTGCCTGTGAAGCTGAAATATGTTTTCATGTCAGTTCAAGTGCTGTGGAAGCAACAGTTCCTCCGACTGGGCCGCGAGCATCTGGATCCGCTCCAGAGAATCCGACTACAGGGAGGTGCCTGACAGCTGCTGCAAGAGTCAGACTGAGTTGTGTGGCCGCAGGAGCCACCCGTCCAACATCTACAAGGTGGAGGTGAGAGGATGAAGAGTGATGGGGGGGGGGGCACCTAATCTGTATTTCTGTCTTGTCTCAGTGTCCTAGAATGGACTTTTGTTTTGGTGTAAGAGCAGCGTAGGAAAAAGAGACACGCGTCGTGTATTCGTCGCATTTGTTTGCAGACAAGACTTTGCTTTTCATTCAGGGCGGCTGCATCAGTAAACTGGAGGAATTCATCCTGGACCACCTGAAGATCATTGGAGCGGTCGGAGTTGGAATTGCCTGCGTACAGGTGAGCAAAGAGCAATCTCCACCTTTTTCATCTGCTTTCTCACTCGTAAACAGAGAGTGAATAAATGTGCATCCATTGAGATTGCAGGTTTTGTTAAATTATGTTTTCCTTCCTTCCTCAATCCACTCCCCAGATCATAGGGATGGTGTTTACATGCTGCCTATATCGAAGTCTAAAGTCTGAGCCGTACTGAGAGAGGCAGAGGGAGAGAAGTGTGTGGGCGAAGGAGGTAACTTCATCACGGCGTGCCGCACTCAAACAGCCCATAGGTTCTTTTCTTTGCCGCGCACACAGGGGGAGGACAAATTTGGCGAGGGATCACATCGTACATCCGAAGATTTCATCTCGATAAACAAAGGGTGGAAAAACACTACAAGGTTTCTTGAAGCAATTAGGCACTTAAATTACGTTCTCGGCTGAAACAGCGCGGTGAGAAAAAAGCCTCTGACAGAAACTGATGAGAATTAGACTTGATTGTGTAACTCCGCCTCCACGGGACTAAAAACACTGTCGTTTTCTTCCGCTCTGATTCCCCTGATGTACGTTGATATGTGAGGATCGACACCAGAGAGAGTGGTGTAAAGATCAGTGGAGTTAAACTGGCACTTTGCAGAAATTATTAATCCTGGTCGCAGCAGCAGCAGCTTCTTTCTCAGCAGCATGTTTCAACAAACCCACCCCAGAGATCTTCTTCTGAAACATTTAGTTTCTCTGTTCGATCGCGGCCTTTTAAACATTTTGTTAGTTTTATACTTTGTAAATGATGATTTTCTCCAACACCTGAGGAGCTTTTCTTATGAGCGATTACTTCCTGTTTTCATGCCTTAATAATTAAGAATAACTTTGCTGTGTCATCACGTTTTAAACTAACCTGTTAGATTATCTGTGCAGGTTCTGTATCGCTTCTCTGTTAATGAAGTGATATTGTGATCGTGTTAATGAAACGAACAAGCAGTGCCACTGAATCGCTCATGAGAAAAGTTCCTCGTGTTTGTGTTCTTACCTTTTTTTATACGAGGGATTTGTGCCAAAGTTGTCGACTGTAACGTTTTGTGATGGACCTGCTGTTTGTTTTCCAGCCTTATCTACGTATCCACTGATGCCTCTTTTTTAGATTGTTTTCTTAAATGAAGATTTAGTTCACTTTCCACTAGACCATGAATATGTATTATTGTATTTAACTGGACACCTGGTAGATGATGATAGTTTCTCACTGTTAGAAAAATGATGTTATCCTGTGTGCCTCAGAGACGACCCTAAATGAATCTGCTGTATTTTCTGTCTGTGTGATAATCCAGGGAATTATTTTACTTTGAATAAACATCAGTCTACACTTCACTTGTCTCCTGCAGTGCTTGCTTTCCCAGCTGTCGGGCCGCCGCTACTAAACAAGAGGCAGCTGCATTTTCATCATTTTTAATAACTTTAAACGGCAGCGCTGCATCAACGCTGAGCGACGACGTCCTTCACTCATCAGGTCGTGTCTTTCAAATAAAACTGCCACAATAAACCATTACTGTGTTAAGACAAAACCTTGTACCTGTAACCAGTGGCCCTGACACAATTGGCGCCAGCTTACAGGTGCATTAGTGTATTAATCCAAACTCAATTCACTAATGTAACTGTACTGTAGTGGTTTAAATGTGGGCTGCGAGCCATATTCACAGCAGCTGCTTCTCGACTCTCATCACCTGTACCTGGGCCTGTAATGTTTCTCTGCTGCGGAGTAAGAGGCTACAGCTCTTTTGACCCCCCCCACACTCCGCCTCTGTATTGTTGAGAGTGACTGTGCATCAGCGTCATTGTGTAACTGCAGCAGTTACCGTGTGCAAACACAGGGAGGCAGCACCCGTCTGGCTTTCAGCAGCACAACTGATGAAAACAGCTGGTCAGAGTGTGTGCAAAACACCCAGAGGCTGTGGAGGATCACCCCCCCCCCCCAAACACATTCACACCTCCAACTCAGAGAGGCCGAACAGCTTCAGCCTGGCGTTATTCAGTACTAGACGTACAATTGATCCATCAAAAAGGAAATGTTTTCTCAGTGAGCTATGTAGCGAGGAAATCAACCAGCAGCCGGTCAGCCCACAGATCCACTAATTGGTTTCCATTGGGGCTGCTAACAATGCAAATTAAGCCATTTCTCAGTCTGTGAAGCTGCCGGTGTAGAACCATTCCCCCTTTTGTGTAGCAAGGTGCAAGTGGCGGAACGAAACAACGACCGAAAATCAGCGTGTATTGTCATCGCAGCCCTTGAAGGTGCTCTCGCATCACACCTTGTAAAAGCTGAGTCATCCCCGGCCAAATGAGCAGGTGAGTGAGATTCTTTCTTTTTCTTTTCTCTCTCCCAACGTTCATCGTTTCCATTAGAGTGAAAGCAGTTCAACACATGCTGGTTTTAAAAGGGCACTTTTCAAAGAGGCGGACATCTGCGGAATCCTTCTGCTCCTGGAACCTTCTCTTGACACGACCGATGCCTTGTTGCTGGAGTGGGAATCCAAGCACGTGGCGAGAATTTGTAGACGGGCCTCTGAACGACCAGCGTGCCGTTCTAATGCAAACTATAATAATTCTCCCTCCTCCTCCAGCCGTGCTTGCTGACTGTGACAGCTCACATCCCGCCTAACACAAGGGGCACGTTAATAATGCCAGTGCATGACATTTCCAAAATATCTCCTCCAGTACTCGCTAAGCAGTTGTCCATTCGGTGAACATGTCACCCGCTGCACCTTGGCCTGTTGGGCCCATCCAGCTGAGAGGTTTGCTATTTTCAGTGTGTGTGTGTGTGTGTGTGTGGAGAAGAGGGTGTACACTCTCCACCTTAAACCTTTTCCTGGGAGATGATGTGATTTCTGTGCCCGCAGGACAAACAGACGACAGAGAGCTATGCTACAGATTGCAGCTGACGACAGGAGGAGCAACACCGAGGCATTCGTTCCCAGGGTCGCCCAAGGGCAGGGGAACCCAAGGGCACATAAAGCTGCGTCTACTTTTGGCCACAGTTGGTATATTTTTAACTTTAACTCCTGAGGTTAAGAATTTGTTGTTTGTGATTTGGTTTCCCTGTTCCATTCATCATGGGCTCAAATGGCTCCTCTTTCGCTCGGGTCGAGTGAAGGTTGAGATGAGGTGAAATATCAGTTATCAGGACCACCCAGAGGTCTCGATAATAATAATCTTTGGATATTTTACCTCCACCAGAACTTCAACAGAAAACAACTCCACCACCAAAGCTGTTTTCTCAGTCTGACATGTTTATTTTGATCTGTTATAGTTTTATATATTTAAATGAATTAGTCAACTGAAGTGTTTTTACTCGAGATGCACCATGAAATGTAAAAAAAAAAAAAAARAAGCAGGATTTAATTTTGGCATGTTAATATTTCATTTTATATTAGAGAGTGAAAATATTATTATTATTATGATTTAATGAATTCAATAAAAAATGTATTACTGTGAACGCATTGAAGTTAAGGTTTTGAATAATAGTCTTATTATAACTAATTATTGAGTAAATATTAAAACAGTTGCAAGAAATAGTTTATGATGCTTAATTTAAGACTCTCAGTGGTTAATTAACTAACCCTGGAAATATTCAACCTTTGACAAGGAACTGCAAATACACCGAGCATTCTTTTAAAGAAATGTTTACTGATCAACGTCTGTGTGTGTACATCGCACATCTGTGGGGTATAAAGCAGCGCAGGTCTTTCTATGGGTGGAAGATGTTACAAGGGCTTCGAGCCAGTGGCTGTGATTTCCAGCCTGTTAATCCTGTGCTGTTCCTGCAGGTGAAAACCGGAGGTCTCAACGTAATCTGCCGTCACGTTTAGCCGCGTGCGCGCTCCGCATCCCCAGACATCTCTGCTGCAGGTGGAGACGTCTCAGGTCATTTCATTTTCATTCAAGACCCGGGCTGTTTACATTGTGTATGTGTGAGGACGACTAACAAATGTAATCTTGAGTCTGTAGATGGCAGCAACACTCTTGGCCAATCAGTCTCAATAAAATGGGGGGGAAAAAGTCTTTTGTCTTGGCTGTCAGGAGCTGCCAACTGAAATTGAAATTAATTGGAAAATCCAATGTGAAGGGGGAAAAAAAAAAACTGCACTGTAATCGTGAAATAAATCCAGTCGCTGCAGAGATGAGTTGTTTCAGTGTCTGTCCCTCTGTGCATACACACAGAGATGAATGCATACTCCCACTCTTCCTATAAACATATGGATATCAGTGTGTTAACATCCAAATCATGCATGAATCAATCAACCCGGAGCAACAGCTTCAGCATCATCCACATGATGGCCGTGACTGCGGGTCAGGGATGAACCACATTATGCAGCAGAAGCAGAAGAAGCTGCGTTAATTATCGGGTTGAATCTGTAAAAACTGTAAATTGAACAGGTCTGATTGTGTTGGACTGTTTTTTACACATTTATCTTCAGTGTTGTTAAGTGCTGAGTTCACATTTTGTAGGTGAGTGTGTGTGAAGGGAGGGTGTTGATTACATAAGTCATTTACGTTTCCTCCACTTTGAGAGGGACTGGCTCAGCCAAGTGAGAGACTCTGAGCCTCGGCAGCTTTCAGGCTCCGCTCAGACTAATACTGAACACTGAGCTGTGTGAAATAAAACCTCTCGCTGAGCTGCCTCTCAGCTTTTACGGGATGTCACTTGCGCATCTGTTGAAGAAAGGCGCCACTACGAGGATGTGCGTCGTGGGTAAAGCTGCTGTGTGCTGACAGGCGGCTCACATGTGGCTCTCATCCCTTTGCATGCAGGTACAGTACCATACAGCACATACATCACCCCCTCTGTCACTCACTTGCTCACTCAGGCTCACTCCAGCCCTCGCTCACTCCCTGAAGCAGAGCGGCCTCCAACATCTGGCTCTCCGTCCTTTTCCCTCTTCTGGGTCACATCCCATGTAGGCAGAGGAGATTGTGAGTCCTGAGGTGTTCAGACATCCTCCAAGGTGGTTTCACCAGCTGGCTGTTGGTCTCGCTTCCAGGGGGTGTGTTGTATCTGTGTGAGAGAGGGGGGAGGTTTTTAACTTTGGGTGTGTGTGTGTGTGCCCCTCAGGGATGGAAGCAGGGTTGCAGCTGTAGATGTGGAATGAGGAGCCTTGGCGCAAATATCCAAAATTTCATTAAATAAAGAAAGATTAGAGAAAAGTCCAAAAGATAAACAAGTAAAACTTTGTTTTTACTTCTGTTCTGTCCCATTTATCATCTCAGGACTCATCTTCTTCATCGCTGCACATCTTGAGCTGGACGCCCTGGATGAAGATACTGTATCTCAATGGGACCTTCCTGCTTAAATAAAGGATTCAGAATTACTTATTGAGGCAAACACACAACATCTGTGTTGAAGTTGGTTCAAAATTGAGCTAATTTGAACTATTTGGTTGTTTAAACTAGGATA